AATCTGAAAATCAAATAAAAATCATATGTCAACTTTTTGCATGTTACGCACTTTCCCGGTGGGCTGACGAATAGGTTAGGTCCAGAAATACTTTATGCGAAAAGCGTATTATTGTAAACCTATAAATCAGCGATTTTGTCTGACGAATTTAGTATATTTTGAAAGTTTTTTTTCCGTTTTTTCTCTTTAATTGTCATATTTCACGGAAATACTAACAGTCTGATTTAGAGTGACGGACTACTAATCTGTAAGACATCTGATCAATCCCTACATTTGACGTTATTACCCTTTTGTCTTTCTTTGCTGTTGACAGTTTACTGGCAATTAACTGCCTAAAAACCGTCTATTTTACGTAGACCGTTTTACCACCATAAGGTAGTTCAAACTGCCTATTTACAGCCAGTAAACTATATTTTAACGGTCATGCTTCTCGTGAAAATTCGATATATGAGAACCGGGTTTACTGGCAGTTTTTAGGTAGTTGAAAAACCACCTTTTTACGGTGGTAAAACCATACCATCTAAACCATCAAAAGACCACCTAGAAACTGTCTGAACGGTCTTAAAACAGCTAGTAAACTAACTCCCAACTGACAGTTAACTTGGCAGTTTTCAATACCCTGGATAATACGGTTTCATCTTTTGTCTTCTCGGTACGCAGTTAGTATAGCTTTTTATACTCTTGGTATAATCATCCTAAAGATTTTTTAAAAGTCCTTCCGTACCTCCGAGTTGAAGTTTTATACTCGAAAAGCCTTGATTTTGACCTATTTTTTAGTAGTATATTCATCTAAAAAGACAGCATCAATTTTCGTTACTCCTTTATATTAGTGTACACTATTCCCAATACCATCTCTCGATTAATGTAGATTAGTTTCACCATTTTAGCCCACACGAGGCTGCCCTAACAAGGTTTTCTAGTTGGATCAGGGAGGAAGGGCAGACTAAGAAGAGTTTGATCAGTAGAAAACCGATACTTTTTATTTTAGCCTCGCAAGAATTTCCTTGTACAAACATAACACATCAGTCAGTAACAGCTTCCACCAAACATGATGACAAGATGATATCTGCTCATGGATTTTCTATAAATCAGAGATTACGTGACATGCAGCTGGAATATTGCATAATGGCAAAACAAAAGGTGCTAAACTGACTTGATGTCTTTTTTTTTAAAAGTAACAACGAAGCTTCTAAATTTTGTTTAAAACTTTCATCTTTTGTCTTCTACCTAGCCAGATAACAATGTGACAGTCCGAACAAATTTTAATCCAGATTCTGAACAGGATGGACAATCCATTTGGCTTGATTTTGCTGACGATGGAAAGTTAAAAGGTAAATTTGGGAAGCTTGTCCCGTGGTAATTCAAATTTATGTTTGTGTTGTACATTTACGTTTTTAGAAACAGAAAGAGAATCTATATCAACTCCCGGAGTATTAGGAAGCGCAAGTTGTGTTTGTGTTCATACCACTGTTGAACCTCGCTGTATGAAAGAAACAGAATTTGTGTTAGCTTGGCATATGCCAGTAATCAAATTTGGTTTAGCTCAACAATTATATAAACGGTAAGATAACTCTTATTCATCAACTCTCCAAACAACGATTACTCTCATGTCAACTAACTTGTTGCTTTGATTTCTTTAGTTGGTACATGAAATGTTTTGAAAACGATGGGCTATGCGGTTCTTATTTGTGTACTTATGCAATGGCATCGAGAGAAAGATGGGAATATCGTATTGAGCAGTGGCAAAAGCCGATTCTAGATGACCAGTGAGTACATAAAGAGTTAAATAAAACAAAAGACAACTGTGTGATATATTCTTCGTTTTTCCTTCTTCTCGTTTAGCACATTACCTGCTTGGTATAGAAGTACATTGTTTAATGAACTATATTTTGTGAGTGATGGCGGAACAGTTTGGTTGGATGTTAGTGATGTTGTTGACGATACTTTAGCAGTACACATCCGAAAGTATGGCCGTTTTGCATATTTAGAAGGTAATTTTTACAATGAGTCAAATCAAATGTGTGATTTTTTGAGTAGAGAAGATCAGGTAGTCTTGTGTTATCTAAAATTTTCGATAGGACTCAAATTTTATTTTTCATTCTTTATCTACAATATTTTGTGTATTCTATTTGTTCAGTTAAATTGATTTTTATGTTTCTTATAGGACACGAATACAGGATGTATAATACATACGATGTTCACTTTTATGCGTCGTTTGCTCTTATTCAGTTGTGGCCTGAACTTGAGCTTAGTATTCAATATGATTTTGGTATATGGGTTATTTATTTGTAACTTTACATACGAGAACTGCTATATTCAATTATTTGTTTTCTTTATATTTAAGCTTCAACGATTCCGAAAGAAACGTTGGATACTCGACTATATTTATTTGAGGGAAATATGTCATCTGTTAAATCAATTAATTGTGTTCCCCATGATCTGGGTGATCCAGGTAAAACATTTAGTTTTTTGATTAATGAATATTGATATTGTGACGGATAAGGATGTCCACCAGATAGCTCAGTGGTTAGAGCATAGACGCGGAATGTCAAGGTCCTAAGTTGGAACCCTAGACTGGTCATACATTTTTCCTTCACATATGGCGATCTCGCCCTAGTAGGTATGCACCAGTACCGGTACCGGTATCAGTAAAAGAGCTCCACAAAAGTTTAAGATCTTTTTTGTTTTTGCAATAACTCAACTTCCTTGATAGATACAGACTCCGTTCTTTCGCCAAAAGAAAGCCTACGTTGAGTAATCAGAGCGGAGAAATCGAGGTTTTTCCATTTTTTGGACTAGCTCTAACTAAAAGAAGTTTTTGGCGATAAAGGCATGCTCAAAAGCTGAAAATTTGATCAGCAACGGATAGCCCGTAAACTTTTCTATCGAATGATGTGTTTTGAAATTTTTTCGCGCAATTCTCTTGGTTAGGAAACGTGAAATACTCAGGAAGTAAGATTTTTCAATTGTGTAAAACACCGCGTTTTTGCTTTAGCTCAGTCAAATTAAGCTGAAACTTAGCCGTTTTCTCAGGGTTTATAGTACTCAACGTAGGCTTTCTTTTGGCGAAAGAACGGAGTCTGTATCTATCAAGGAAGTTGAGTTATTACAAAAACAAAATAGGTCTTAAACTTTTGTGGAGCACTTTTACTGGTACCGATACCGGTACTGGTGCATACCTAGTATGAAGCATAAAATTCTTTTAGTTTCTGTAGCTTTTTGGCACTAGTTTTGCGAGAAAGAACTCACACAAAAGTCTAAAAGTCTCCAATTAATAATCTCATTACAACAGTGCAATTTTTCAGGCTAGTTTGAACCATTATCGTGCTGATACACTTTGTTCAAAGTTCAAATGGTTGCGAAAACAGCTAAAGCTACAAGTCTACGGGATAACCAAGTCTACGAGATAACCAAAACCTTTTTTCTTCATGGGACCGGGACTTGGACTAAAAACGTTTGATCCCGTAATCCTCTAGTCAAGACTCTGAAAAAATTCAAATTATTCTCCTTAGTTCCTAAAAATGAGAGATCTGTAAGATTTTTCTCTGCTAATCCTCCCGAAAAGAAAAAGTCTTCATGACTTCGCTAAAAAAATACCATAAGCAACTATTAGTCTATATATAAAAGCGATGAGTCTAAGTGAAACTGATAGATTATACTGTATGTGATCACTTTCAAATAGACGGACAATACCCGCTTCATTATATATTCACAATACTTAAGATATATGGGTGTGCGTCTGAAATATTGTTTATTATTTTCGATTATATTTGTATGGTATACGGCAAAAAGATTGAAAAATTTCTTTATAATACCTTCTGTTTGATTACAAAATAATTGAAAATTTGAATAATAGTTTTATATCAACTATTTGTTTATAATTCCGAGTTCATTATCGTTTCATAAAAGTCTAAATTAAATCCATTTTCACCGATAGTGAATCTATTTATATGACTTTTCTAGCTATTGATACATACATATATCGTTTGCGAGATTTCCGCGTAAAAAAAGAAACAAATTGTCAGTTCATGTGGGTTAAGAAAATACAAAAAAAATTAATGAGAAATACATGGATAGAATGTCATGCTATATATCACGGGAAAAAAAGAGAATTCTATTTTTAATAATGTATTTGTTTTGCATTGCCTCAAACGGTAGGAGAAAGAAAACAATCACTGAAAACATATATGTTCAGTGAAAATTAATTCTTAAAAACTTCTAAAGCTATTTTTTGCCTAAGACCTTTGTACTTTGTACTAACACAGTATGTGGGTGTTTTCTAAAAATACCAAGGAATTTGTGACTCAAATGAAAAAACATCATGCTTGACATTATAACGAAGCTTTCTTTCGTTATCGATAATGTAAACCTACTCTTCTTTCATTCGGAGGGAATAATACGTACAATAGATGTCACTACTTCCTCCTGATAAATGCGAAATGTCAAACACCCAAAATCTTTTCTCATTCTTCCTAAAAATGCTAACTAGTGCGTATATTCATTATTTAGTTTGGACTCAACGGGTATTTCTTATGTTCATACTCTTTTGTTTTCAAGATCATGTCTCATAATGTCATTGGGCGGATATATTCACTGTTTAGTTTAGTTGATCTTTGAAGTATTGTGCGAATAATAGTCACTGTGTTAATTATTGTTCCCATCAGAGATGATAGGATTAAGATAATCTTCGATAAAAATACGTATATTCCATGAAATTTGTTTCCACGATTAGTCGTGCAGGATAAATGGCAGCTTGACCAATCAGAGACAGAAAAATTTGTTGCGTTTCTTTCCAATACAACGAGTACTTCGCTTCTGAATTATACTGTTCTTAATTATAATATAATTATCTATGGTCAGTTTTCTTTTTGTAATAAAACGTAAAACTCGAATTTAATTCTAGAATACTATTATGACAGATAGTTTCAGCTCATTATCAAGCCCATTGAATTTGAATGAACGGCCACCAGTGCATACGTCAACACCATTATGTTCAGAAAATCCACAATCAATTTCTATATCAAAACAAAAAAATTCTCCCACTGGCCTTCATCGAGAGCAGGCCATTATATCGCAAACTGCTCTAGATAATATACATAAATTAAATCAAGTAACTAGTATTTTTTCTCATGGAAAGAGTATATCTGACTTTTACTCGTGTTTTTGATATAAAAAACAACGATTTTTTTGCGACTTTAGGACTTTTGTATACTTGGTTTAATCGATTTTGTTGATAATGAAGTAAATATTGAAAAGACAATTGAATATAGTCGAAAATTAATTGAAAATTATAAAAAATTAGCTGAAAGTAATCATGATTTGAATGAAAAGTAAGTAAGTATATTAATCAATTTGTTTGATTACAGCTGGTATTCTACTAGTTCAATTTTAGACTAAATACAATTGAACAAAATCATGACTTAACTATAAAAGGTGAAGACTCATTCAAACAACAAATAGAACACATCACTAAAGAAAAACAACGTTTTCTCGATGAAAATAAACAGCATCGTCAGAAAATAAATGAATTAAATCAAGTTGTTCAACAAAATCAAAAAGAAGTGAGAATATTTGAGGAAAAAAGTGACAATATTCTTGAGAACAGTTTTTTGTTCAAATCACTTTTGTTTCATGTTTTTCCCAAAGCATATCGATGCTTCTCGATTTTAGTAACATAGCTCTTTTATGTCAGAAATGTATGTTTTGTTTAGATTCGTCGTTTAACGAATTTGTATTCTCAACATGAATCTATGTATAAACATCAATATAAAACACTTGAACGTCAAATGTTTAAGTTGAAAGACAGACTAAACACTGACAATCCTAATACTTCATCCAGTAAGTAATACAAATACTCACTTTTACAAGTCTAACGTTGTCTCTCTCCATTATAGCAATCGATCTATCATGGTCATTACAAGTAGAAGAAAAATTACAACAATCTTTATCCAAGTATGCAAGTATGATTTATTGTGAATTTTAAATTTCTTGTCACTTTTTCTTCTTTCAGGCAACGTGAATATTTATTACAGAAAATAATCCATGATTTTGATCAAAAACATCGTCTATTCATGCTAGAAAATGAACAACTGAGACAATGTTTAGTTGATATTGAAAAAAGATTAACAAAAATTGTTAATATTGCAAATAATAATTATGTACTTCAACAAAAATCATCCAAGTTGAACGATACATGGACTGTAAGTAATTTTTTGTGTTTTTTCAAATAGCCGGCGAACCGACTTCTTTATTCTCTAGGCAGATAATAATGAAATAGCGATCAACATTGAGGATGATGAATTATTTGAAAATAGTATGCGCGAACATTTTTTCCTCGCTTATACAAATGTGACTTAATGAAATTATTTTTCTTTAAATATGCAGATTTACAAAATCTTCCGTGCGATGCTATTAATGAAATTGTTCGAAATCATTTTGAAACACTCTATCATCAATTAGAAAAACTTTTATCAACGAAACAACAGCTATACGAACCGGAAACTCGCACTGAAGAGGAAATTTGTACTGATAATAATTCACATAGAATCAACGATGCAAATGTAAGAGTAAAAGAAAAGATTGAAAGTAGTGAATAGTTCTAATCAGTACTCCTATTTTTTCTTGTTTATTTAGTTCTTATCCAATATTTCATCGTTGAATTCACCATTTGATAGACCAAATCATGTATTAAATGGAAAAAATAAATATTCCATAGACAAAGAGCGCATCCGTTTGGAGAATGATAAAAGATTATTATTGATTATGATGAATGATTTTCAACAACAGGTTTGTTTGTAGAAGAAACTATTTGAGACACGTTTTTACATGTTATATGAATTTTAGAAACTTACATTTGATAATGAACGACAAGATTATTTACGTGATCAATTTCTCAAAACAAACAAATGTTAGAAACAAAAGAACGCTTTTTTTTACAGCGTCAGATATAATGTATGCCGTCCTATTTATTTTCATAAGAATTTTTTTGTATGATTATTTACAGTCACTTTTAGTACAATTAATAATTTGTTTTACACAATTGTTGTGTTCTCTTCATTTGAGGTTATGCGTTGTTTTTTCTTGCATAGATGTGGATGTGTAAGAAAATTAGTCTATAATGTACTGTCATTCTGTCTTTATTTCAGACATTAACTGAACGAATTTGATAATGAATACAGTTGCTGTGTGATTTTTTAAGAAGTTTGTCTTCTAGATTTGAGAACAGTGGTTAGTGTATGTCGAAAAAATAATCGTGGAGGATTTTTGCACAGTCAGTTGCGACAAATTGTAGATTCAGACATTTACTGAACTGAACTGCATATTACTTTTAAATCTGAATCTCTTTCGCAGCAAGAAGAGATCAACAATATTCTAACTCCTATTCTAAGTGAAATATGGTTTATGTGTTTTAGATAACTACTATCTGAATACGAATGAGTGGAAAAAAAATTATTAAACGTGATATAACACCGTTTCTTGCACGAATTCGAGAATTTCTATTCAAAGTTTGTCTTCCTTCCGATACGTTTTATTTAAGAAGCTGATATATAATTATTTATTTTCACTTTTTTAGCGTGAAGTTGTGAGTTCAATGAGATGGGAATTTGAGTGGAGCAAACGAACCCAACCTTTGCCCAAGTTACCTGAAGGTTTTGCTCATAAATTAAGTAAAAATTATTATTATGATCGTGATGCAAGACGTTTAGTTACACCACCACAAGTATTATTTACAGCTCACCAAATGCTGACCACAGGCGCTGCACAACAAAAGTATTTACAATGATTAAAAACTTTATCTAATTCGATGTTTTAGCTGAAGTAATGTTATCTGTAAAACAAAATAAACTCTCCCGAAATACATTTTTACTCGTTAGATCTACTTTTCAGTGTTCTCATTTATCCTTAACACTACACTTTTGTTTGTTTTTATTTCTATTTTAGTTTGCTGACCGACAGTGCTCAAAAAGCGCAAGCATCGCTTGCTTCGTCATCTTCAACTACTCAGTCTACTCCTGCTTCAGCTGGAACTGCAACAATACCAGAGGCTGTAAAAAATACACAAACGAGTGGTCTACGAACTCCCGGAAACCTGTTCAATTGGGATCAGTAATTTATCCACATTTTTCTCTAAAAATTATTTTCACACCGAGATGAACGTTCTTTTTTTTTCTTTTCAAAAAAATAGAGTTTTTAGCTACATACTTTCTTATTCGTATTTGTATAGAATAAAATAGCGGCGTGTTCAAATATCGTTCCAATCTAGTTCGTCTCAAATCTTACAACGTACCTTGATTCATCCTAAGTTTGATGAAACATAGTTTTTAGAAGCCATGTTTGATGGTAATCACGAATCTGAATGAATCTTCATTTTTCTCAACTTAATTCTTAATGCAAGTTGTTTTGACGATCATTCGAAGGAAAAATGGCAGCACTTGGTACCGCGAATGCTGTGCCATTTAAGAAGAAAACAATCATATTGAATATTTGCTTAATCATCTCTTCTTTTTTTTCTTAAGTAAAAAATAATTTTTGTATATTCACGATTTTTATTCACTTACACGTTTTAAAATTCTAGAGTGACTGTGCTGCAATGAAAGTTGTCAAAAATAATTATTTCTGGTGGAAGTTCTTGAGTCAAGACATCCCAGGTCAACGGAAACTGACACTGAATTACTCATGCATAATCTGTTAGCTGCATAACGAAAAAATTTACTTTCAATCGGCTAAAAACTGTTAAAAAACAACTCATTAACAGTCACCGTTTTTGGTCCGTTATTTCACTGTGAATCGTGACCGCCTTTCAGTTAATTAATGGTACAATTAAAACAAAAATATACATTGTTCATATTGCTTTTTGACTTTTGACAGACACATTCAGCTTTATGTACCTGAAACTAAATAAATTTCCATCGATCATTAACTTCATGCCATTATGAAGCAGATGAAATACCAGAAAAAACTAGAATTTAGCGTTGCCAGTTGAATGTCAGTTTTTGACATTTGTCACCAAACCATTCACATTTTTGTTTTGCTGTTATGGTTAATATACATTTGTCTTTGATTCTTTTGAAGGAGAAGACTTAGAATTTTTCTCTTCTTCGGTCAGGTCGTCAACGACCAATAATGGTGCAATAACGGTCTTAAAACGAAGATCATAAAATGTCCATTTTTGATCGTAATAAAACTACCACTTTTAGGCATTAAGATGTTCTCAATTTCAGTGCCTAAAACGTTCCAAAAATTGTCTCAGTGGTCTAAAAATGTCCATTTAACAGACACTGGATCGGTTATTAATAGGTATTTAATAGACAATTAATTATAAGGTTTTCAATGACTTGGAGTTGGAAGAAACAAGATAACCGAAAAACGTACGACTGTTAAGAAATAAAACTTATGAAGTCTCTTGTCTCAAGAAATAAAGTTTCCTGCGTGTCAAGATCTCAAGTAAGAAACGATAAGAAAAAAATGTCAATTTCTTAAGCAAGAACTTTAAGATATTAGGACATTTCTTGAGTCAAGATCTTAAGAAATGCAAAAAAACTTTCAACAGATCAAATTTTTTGAGTTACTTATCTTCTTTCTTTTTCTTTTAAGAAGAGAAAAAATACTGCTACGAAGTAATCTTTTATTTTTCTTGGGTTTAATTAGATCTTCTCTCGAACTCATGTAGACTGGATTTGCCAAATTATCAAACCAATAAATTTTAACACTTGTGGAAAAGGTATTCTACTTCATAGCAGGGTTTGTAGGTGTTTCAGTTGCAAGGAGGAAATTATTGAGTTTACCTCTTTCTTTCGAAGATAGAGAAAAACATTTACTTCCACGTGATTAGCTGATATGGCCCCCTAAAGGACACTCCGCCACGCACCCACCCCAGGATTTCAAAAGTATCTTGAATACATAATTCATATACCAGGTTTCGTACAGCTCTTAGCGACAGATCTAACGGTATATTGGGTTTGGATTTATTTCTTGTGGTTAGTCAGATCAGGGTACACCAACGAATTTGATGCTGTATTGACCTGACGTAAGTGCAAAGGCCCAAGTTTCGTACCCAAGTACAACGAAATATTTTGTTATCCATATTCTTGTACAGCGCTCTACAAATTTATTTTCATGGGAAACACCAAGTGGTTTCTGAAAGGTTTTCTAAAGGTCTTCTA